AAACCCTGAACCTTCAAGTTATCTCGAGGCGGCGCACAGCGCCCATCTGGCGCGGGTGCGGCCGCGCCTGCTTGAATTTGGCCAGGCCCGGGAACTTGAGAGGGTTTAAGGGGGGTTTCAGGGGGGTTTCAGTTTAAGGGTGGTTAAGGGTTTGGGGGCTTCAGAAGCTTTTTTAAACTTGGTATACCCTCTTGCACCTTTTTTTAGTTTCGGTTCCCTGGGGTTCCATGGGGTTCAAGGTTTAGGAGTGTAAAAGAGGGTCAGGAAGTTTTGGGGGTTTAGGGAGGGGTTGAGGGGGGTCAGGTCAGGGTTCACCCTAAACCCTAAACCCTAAACCCTAAACCCTAAACCCTAAACCCTAAACCTGACACGGGCGACTGGCAGGTGCCGCAGCAGCAGCAGGCATGTCCGGGCCAAATTTCATCACAGGGGCTTCCAAAGAACCTGTATTTTCGGGTTTAGGGTTTAGGGTTTAGGCTTTACGGTTGAGGGTGAGGCACTGTGTCACTTCTATCAGTTATCGTCCCTGTTGGGGTTCCTATGATCGGGCGGCCCCTAATAGTTAGAGTACTCAAAAAGGGTTTAGGGTTTAGGGTTTAGGGTTGATCATGTAGGCTTCCCCAAAAGCTTAGATTCTTTGGGTTGGGAAGTTCCCCCTTATGCTAACAGTCCTTAATGATTCCAGTGCCCCCTATTACAATCCCTATGAAGGACTCTTAGTGTAAGATGGAACATCCCAATCTTTGGGGATCTCGGGGGATTTGGGATGCCATCCTTTAGAGGTTTTGCGGGGGCTTTCGGGTCAGTTGCCTAGCTGCTGAGCTGCAGCCCCGGCACGGTTGTAGGAGGGTTTTGGGGTTCGGAATAAGCTACAGCAGAATGCGCCTCCGAAGCCCATGATGCCCCAAGCGTTCGTGGTGAACAATGCGCCAGACTTCCCAGGGTGTGTAGGGTTTAGGGTTTCCTAGGCTTAGGGTTTAGGGTGAAAGGGGTTTGGTGGTTTCTGAGGGTTTGGGTGGAGAGGGTTGAGGGCTAAGGGTTTACTTGGTGGTTCATGGGTATTTGTAAGTAGGATTACAAGTAGGGTATCTATTATAAGAACCTTATTAAGGGTACTTTTGACCCCACTTCTAAATACCCATGAACATTCAAGTAGGGCGTGCTTTCAGGATTCTCTGCGTCCGCATTCTAAGAAGCTTGGAGTCCCCCCCCGCCCCCCCACCCCACCCAAATCCGACCACCCCTCCTTTGGGGGCCAACCCTCTCCACACCTTGAGACCCTAACTTCAAGCCCCAAAGACTCTTGACATTGGACCGCCTGGGCAACTTTCAACTGTTGCGGATTGTGAAACCTAGGCCGTGAGCAAATGTAGGGTGTGTAGGAAAGCGAGCTTCAGTCGACAAATTCACCCACCGCTCAGGCCAGTGAGTTGGATGAAGCATGCTTCGAAGATCAGCTGCCATCGACCACGCCGAAAATGGAGTTCATGCCGGAGGTTTGAGCGCGGGCCCAATCTCAATATTTATATTATATATATATATATATATATATATATATATATATATATATATATGCATCTAGATATATTTCATATTTTTCTTTATATATTTATGATATCCTGGAATAAGAATTGCAAGAAAAGAAACTAGAAGAGGGATGGCCCGAAAGCATCGATTTGCCGTGCGTTGACTCCATGCACTTGATTCTTTGTAATCGAACTGTATGCACTTGGAGAAATGTATGCCCTTACATGGTTGCATAGTCACTTGTACACTGCACTTGTATGCACTGGAACCGCATGGCATTCAAGTGTGTGGAGTTGAATGCCATGCACTTGTGGTCAACTCTGTAGACTTTTCATCGGCGTTGAAGACAACGCCGAGCTCCAGCGGCCGGTCGCGGCACGCACCTGCGCCGGTGCAAGGAAAGAAGCAGAAACCACACAAGCACAAAAACAGACAAAAGAGGTGGAGTCTAAGTAAGGGCCGTGCATGTTGGTCGCCATGGAATACCTGCGCGCAGAAAACAGCTTTACTTGCAAGTCGGTCGACAAAGGTGCCAATCGTCCCGGGCGGTCCTAGCTGCATTTTCACACACGCGTGCGTCGCACCGTCATATTAAACAGAGGTGGCCGCGCCGTCGTACTTTCGCAAGACAGCGTCCGTTTGGGGAACCCACATGTGTATTTGTCTGACATGTGGCACCCGCGCTCCGAATTGACACGCTGCCTTGCAGAGGCTAACCTTTTCATCGCAAGCGCGCCGTCGACTTGAAATCATGTGCGCCAGCTTCCCACTCCGGGTCGCGTCGCGCTTCCCTCTCCATTCCGGATTGACGTTACTACTTACTACAAAGCTACTCAGCAACTTCGAACTGAAAGGACAGCTCAACTGGCTTGGTCCAGCCCAGCATGGACCTTGGCCGCCCTCCCACCGACACGGGCATCTTGAAAGCCTTGACGTCCAGGACCACCCAGCCGAAAAACCGCCTAGCACCCGAGGACCACCAATCGAATGGACTGTCGACCTCGATGAGCGTATCCTGCCTGTGAGAGTCGAAGTCCCGATCGTCCAAGAACTCGGTCGCCCCAGCAAAGGTGATGATGCCCAGGACCTGAGCCCGTGAAGGAGGAGGGCCAATCTCCGTGTCCACGATGGCACCCTTGGTGGACCCGGCGCCGACGGTCTCTATGAGGAAGAGCTGCTCGCCCTCCGAAAAGCACTGGTAGTGACCGAGGGCGTACTTCCTCTCCTCCATCTTTTTGCGCCCAAGCATCAACAGCCGACTCCATGGGTACTGGACATTGAGGCCGCAAAGCGAGAGGCGCTGAGTCGACAAAAAAACTTCATTGGACACCGAAGCAGGCAAGTTAGGATCTTTCAGCCGTGCTGCGCGAGCGACCAACTCGGCCGCCGTGCCGCATTCTCGCATGGATTTCAAGTCTGCAAGAGCTTTCCTTCTGCTGTCACGCAGCGGACCTCTGATCGAAGTGTCCTTCTCCTCGCAGATGCGGATGTGCGCAAAATGCGCTCGCCAGCCATATCCATGCTTCTCCACGATCCCGCGCTGGCTAAGTTCCTGTGACTTTCTACCGAGACCCGCCATGCTGCAACTTCACACCTGCCTCGAGCCAAGGTAGAGATCACAACAAAACTCTGAGCGCAGGAGAAGATCCACAACACCGTCCCCAAGTTGTTTGCGAGGATTTCAAAGCTCCATGCGCTCGGGCCATCCCTCTAGAAGCACGCATGCGTGTAGAGCATCCGATGGAATGTGTGACGGCGCATATGTGTGCATGTTGAGGCGCAGGCAGGAGGCCAAGCAGCTTTGCATTTTATATCTTGGGCTGGTACACGCGAAAGACCCTTTCGCAAGACAGCGTTGAGGGGAGTAAGCAAGGGTTCAAACTAGCGAGAGTTCTGCAGGCGGTGCAAAGCCAAGAGAGCATAATCTCTGCATTTCCACGGTTGCAGAGCTGGCCGAGCCGACAAGATGCAGTCCACAGCTTCATCTGCGCTGCATTGGCCGTCCAGCACCAGCCAAGCGCAGAGGGCAGCAGGACTGCGATTAATGCCACCGAAGCAATGGAAGAGCACGTTGAACTCCTCGCTCGCCTGTTGGCACTGCTCGCGCAGAGTGCGCAAAGTCTGAGCCATGTCTGTCCAAGCCTGGGCGCACCGCTCTGCGCTCTCGAAGAACCAGGAAGCATCCCGGTTGCATTTGATTCTGGGGTCGTCCAATTCAACTTGGACGTGCCGCACACCAGAGCGGGAAAAGTGCTCGCGCCAGTCTTGGGGAGCCCCCCTGACTCGCAGCTCAGCTGGCCGGCACACGCTCACCACAACCGTCACAGAAGTGTTGGTGCTGACCTCGACGTGGAAGATGTCGGCAGCCGAGCGCACGCTGCCCAGCAAGCAGCTCTCACCAGGCTTCGCAGACCGCACCACCACGGCATCGAGAGGCCAGTCGGAGATGTCGCCCAGGTTGTAGGAAGCTCTCCAAACAGTATAGTCCATGTCTGACCAAGGTCCCTCATTGTATTTTGTGGAGATGTCGAGCTGCCTCTGTCGAATCCAGCACATCTCCGCGTCGGACATTGTCGGCCCAGAAGACGTCAGCGAGGACTCCATGCATATGCAGAAAGCAGCAAGGAGGTTTCACTGCAGACCGCTCGTCGGGCCAAAACTAGCTTTTCGAGCCAAAGCCAGCAGCGCAGCCAGGTCTGCGGGTTTAGGGTATCTTGTTCAGAAGAGTGAGGGGCTGAGGTTCTGGGGTTCGGGCAGAACAATGTCAGAATGACATTCCCACACAGACAGACACAAAACCACGTCATCGACTGGCCTAAAGCTCGGGATGTCTCCCATCCACGGTCAATGTCAAAGGCGAAGAGAAGTTGAGGTCAAGAAGAAGGCTACAGAAGAAGCACTGTTTCAGTCCTGCGCTCTAGTGAGAAACGAACTTGCCCAGTCCCGCGGGCTGCATCCCCACACCTCCGCAAGACGGCGTCCATGCGGTTCCGCAGCCGCGCATCTTCGCAACAGAGCGGCCATGCGGTTCCACGGTCGCGCTACATGTGTGCGGTGGCGTGAAACACACGTAGCCGCTCAGACCGCCGGGATACGTCAGCACCGCCCCTAGTCATCATGCCGATGAGCAGCCTCAGATGAAAGATGCGGGAGAGACCTCAAGGCAGACATTCGCACATCTTCCTCGTTGTACCAATCCACAATGCAACGTGCGCAATAGTGCGCCTGATGTCCATACTTCGTTCTCATGCACGGACGGTCGTGCATCTCGCAGGAGAAAGTACAACTGCCTCTTCGCGGCGGGCAAAGATTCCCCATTGCGGCAAGGAGCAAAAGGGCGCGGTCACCTAAGCAAACGTCGCAAAAAGGTGCTGCGGCGCCCACACGAATGCACGCATGTCACCATGCACTCAGACATCATGCCAACGTGTGAGTTGTGTCAAGTGAGTCCAAGGAGACATGCCATGTCATTCTCAGTCCAGGGAGACACGCAGTCTTTTTAGCAGGAGCTGCGAGAGTGTGCGCATGCCCACAGGCGCTGCAGGCGCTGACTGACCTGTCCAGGGCGAGCCTTCCGCCGTGTCCGGCGCCGGCGCACCTTCCGCAAGACAGCGTCGGGCGCGCGGCGCCGGGGTCAGGCTCCGGCAAATAAACATCCGCAAAACTGGACCCTAGAGTCTCGAGTGCTGTCTAGGGCGAGGCTTCCGCCGTGTCCAGCGCCGGCGCACCTTTCGCAAGACAGCGTCGTGTGCGCAGCACCGGGGACGGGCTCCGGCAAATAGACATCCGCAAAACTGGACCCTAGAGTCTCGAGTGAAACATGTCTATAGGGCGAGGCTTCCGCCGTGTCCAGCGCCGGCGCACCTTTCGCAAGACAGCGTCGCGCGCGCAGCAGCGGGGACGGGCTCAGGCAACGTCCCAGGCTGCGCACTTCACCTTCGTCGGCGTCTCCTCGATGAGACTGGTGGCCGGGCGCTTGTTGCTCTGCAGCGTCGGCTCCCCCGCGAGCAAGTCCCAGACCATGGCGCGCTCTGTCTCCAGGTTGCGAACTTGAGCCTCCGTCGCCCGGGACATCCACTCCACGTGCAAGACCACAGCGTCCGTGGCCTCGTTCCTGAGTACGCGTCCCACCAAAAACCGTGGTTGGCCGTCTGCCATGTTGAAGAGGTGACAGCTGGTGAAGTGACAAAAGGCCTCGATCGCGAATGGCTGGGCGCCGTCCATGTGTGGGTACGAAAAGACCTGCTGGTGCTTGGTGACCAAATGCTTCTCGCCGCCAATGTCCACCTCGTCCATGGACGGCTCGTCCTTGGCGAAGGCCAGCAGCGTCACGCACTCCGCGAACACGGAACCGCGCGTGAAGAAGGTCCCGAGGTCCGAGCAGGACAAGTCTGAGAACAGACTCTGCACAGGCAGGACCGCGCCATCCCTCATTTCATTTACCAGGCGCGTCACCTTCTTGACCATGGGACGCGCGCGCTCATCGTAAGCTTCTCCGAAGGAAGGACGAGCTGCTAAGATCTGAAATTGCGTCGGAGCACTTGCGGATGCCTGCGAAGCTTGCGAGGACTGCAGCAAAGCGCCGCGGGGCTGCCCCAGCCGCTGTGAAGTACCCAAGCGAGCATCGAAGGGCCCCTTGAAGCAAAGCGCCTGCGGGCCCTTGTCCCGAAGCAACTGGGCCAGCGCCTGCTCGTCCGCGACCCGGGCCAGCACTGCGAGCTCCGCTCCTCCCACCAGGACATTGTCCAGCTGCCCCGTCCAATCCGCCACGTGCACGGTGGCCAGCACGCGAGCAGCCTCTGCGGGCTCCGTCTGGCAGCCACTGGTGTCAGCACGCTTGCACTTGCCGCTGACGTCATCAATCTTGGTCTGACAGTGTCTACACGGGGTGTAGACCGGATCTCCAAGCACGTTGACCAGCCAAATGCTGTGCATCGCCACTTCGACTTTTTCCTCTGCGAGCGAAGCTGTGATGCAAAATTAAGGAAGCAAACAAAAAATAAAATCACACCTTCAGGCTTCAGGCTTTAGGGTTTAGGGTTCAGGGTTCAGGGTGTACCGAAAGACTTCGCCTGCCCCCATGCCAGTCTCGCGCTTGACGAAAGGCACGCCGTCTCCCCAGGGGAAAAGATCCGGGAATGCCATGGCCCAGGTAGCCGGCTGAAACATGTTCATGGGCTCGTCGCGAGAGGGCACCACAAGTTTCTGAGGTCGCACTTCGAACATTTGGCCCTGAGCCTGGCGCTCGTGCTCCACACTGTTAGCTAGCGACTGCACCCTTCGCACGCGGCTCAGCACGCGCTGCTCCTGAGCTCCCTCGCGGCCCAACAAGCCCCCGGCATCTGCCTGCTCAGGACCCAAGTCGTTTTGAGCCCGATTGCGAAGAACCGATTCAGCCTCGGTATAGTCTTGCCGCGGCTTGCGACGGCACAATTCTTCCACATCGCGGCAGACTCGAAGCCAGCGGTTGCCCTGGTCTGAGTCATCGTTGAGGCCAACGATACTAGACACGAGATGACCTGACTCCAGCGCAGCAGGTGGATTTCGCAAGACAGCGTCCTCCGAGCTGCTACCGGCTGGCGCGGCAGGCTGCTCCTCGCGCTCGTCTTCCTCAGCTTGCCCTTGCGCGTCAGCTGGCCCCTTTTGCAAGAGTTCACGGGCCAAGTAGCTGTCAACGGCAGTCTCCAAAACACAGCCTTCCAGCACGCTGTCCTGGAGTCTGCCCGGGTCCAGAGCAACCGAACGGTAGTAAGGCGAGGTCGTCCGAAGTTTCTCCACGGCTGCAACGTACTCGTCTCTGGGAGCTTGCAAGACATTGCTGGACTTCAGTTCCTGTTTCTTCTGGCCGACAAGAACGAACAAGATGTTCTCGGCCATGTCCTGGTCTTTGGGGGGCAGAGTCGCCTGAATAGCTCCAGGGCCGGCCTGTGGAAGGAAAATCGTGTTGCCGATGTATCCCTTCTGCCTCTCATCGCGCGGTAGCGACAGCGGCTGCAAAACCGTCACCTGCATGCAGACCCGCACGAGAGGGAGTAACCGCTTTGTTCCAGGCGACAGGTTGCTCAGCTCGGGCAGAGAGCGTCCGATCCAGAGATCGTTAGCCAGCGCGTGCCTTGGAAGCATGAGAACGGAGCATTTCAAACTGCTGCGACACTCTCGGCAAACCGTACAAGGGTCCGAGGGTGATGCTGGCATGCGCCGTCGATGCAGCAACAGATACTGTCCCTCCATGTACGGGTGCTGGACAGCGGATGCCTGAAGTTCGGAAAGAGGTATCTGTGGCCAGCGCTCGGCGTACCGATCGATGCCCAGCAATCGGCACAGACGAGCCTGCTGACTCGGCAATACTGTCTCGGCACCGGAGGGCACCTCGATTGAAGACATGTCTGCGTCCGGTGGCTGAAACAGGACCATGGGGTACAGCTCGTTAACCCAGAAGCGACGGGCGCAAACCACACAACCCCCTTCCGCTCGGCCAGCGTGCATTCCAGGAGGGCAGCGCAGCTGTTCGTCGAAGTTGGCTGCGATTGTACGCTGGCGGCTCATCTCAGGCACCTGACTCGTTCAAGCACGACAAAGCGTCAGACACGTACACTTGACATGACAGGCAAAAGACACGTAGAAGGCTATTGCATGTGCCAAGGGGCCACAGGACCTCTGTGCGCTACCATTGCCAGGATTTTCTTGCGGTACTCCACGAAAGCTCGCTCTACATCCAGAGAACGCACGCAATGACTGCTCACAATGTGCTCCTTAAGGTCTGTGAGGTTCTGGCAGTTGAAGTCACACAAGCGGCAGCAGTACCTTTCAGAAAGTACTGAAGGGTCGTCCGAGAAAGAGCGCAGCAGGTGGCCGGACACAGCTTCATTCACGGCGGGCAAGGTCGGAGAGCAATCCAGCAGCGCAGCGACACGCTCCAGCTTCCGCGTCAGAGACTTCTGCGGGTCCTGCAGCAGCCTCAGCGCTCCCATGACGACTTGGTTCGCGTCTCCAACCAGATCCTCCAAGGGGACATAACATTGCTTGCGGCACCCGCCCTCGCTCCAGCCAGGAACGGCAAACAGGAGCGCCCTCTCCGCAGCAGAACGCCAAAGAATGCCGGCTTGCGCGTCCGGGCCATTTGCTAAGCAATCCAGTGCCAACGTCGACAACGGCGCAAAGTCCGGAGGGTAAGCCTTTGTCATGGCCTTGACTCTTGCGGCGGCGCCCCCAGTGTAATATTTTTCCGCGCGCTTGGCCAAGACAGGGTTCTCCTCTACCGAAGGGATACGAGAACACCCTTCCACAACCTGCCAAGAGACGAGGTCGTCCCGCAAAGAGAGCACTGCGAGGTCTATACTTTCCTCGCGAGACCTTTCCTCCGACACTGCGTTGGGGCTGTGCAGCTCGCGCACGCCAAGGCCGGCCAGCGGGTGCAGGAGCTCCGTGGCCAAGAACCAAGCAAACTGCGACCAGTCCTCGGGCTTTCGCACGTGGGCGAACGTCTGGGACCAGCGGCATGGCTCGCCGGGCTGCGTCCGTCGCTCCCAACCGTAGCGACGCATCAGGGCGCGCAGCACGGTGGTGTCGCCCTGGTCGAACTTACGGGACTGATACTTGTGCTGGATGACGCTCAGGACTGCCTCGCAAAACAAGCTAAGAAGCAACAGAGGGCGAGGCATCATGTCGCAGTTCTAAGACGCCCCCCCACCTGGCCTCCATAACATCCTTGCGGTCCTCGTACCCGTCCGTGCTCTGTACTTGCGGCTCCGCCTCCAGGTTGGCCAGCAACCAAAGACGACGAGCGACATCCACGGGGTCCGTTCGCTCAGAGCAGTCAGCTAAACGCCACCAACCTCGGCACGCTACACACATATTCACAGCACAAACGGCGGCAAAGCAAGAAAAGTGAGAAAAAGAGTAATTCTGACGCTCACCTGCTCGCTGATCTGCACGATCTTCAAGCACAGCGGCCAGAAGACATTGCTGCAAAGGCGCAGAAAGAGATGGCACTCTCACTCCTCTCAAGCTAGCTACAGCAGCTTCCCACGCAGTGCTCACTTCCGGGGCCAACGCAACATCTACCTCTGGCCAATGCGGCAGAGCCTGCAAAAGCAGCTCCGCAAGTAGCTGCTGCTCTGCAGCGGAAGAAAGATGCCTGTCGCAAAAGACTGTGGCAGTAATGTCCAGCGAGTAAGCAGCGGCAGGTCTGCGCAAGTTCACATCCTCGAAGATGTCAGGGGCAGCAAGGACCACCGCTGCAACAGTGTCTGCTCCAGCTTCGTGAGCTGCTCGGAGGGATCTCCAGACGTGGTATTTGATGTCCGCACTTGCGCTCGGAGCAGCGGCAGGACACAATGCCAGGACGATTCGCTCAGTCAAATTGCTCCTGCTCACACTCTGGAAGGCGACTCCCAACTCCGCCGCCAGTTGCTGTAAGCTGGGCCCGTCGCCTCGGAAGCGCCATTTACGAAGCCTGGCCCGAAGAGACCGAGCCGCGCTTTCGCCGAGCTCTGCTACCCAGCTCCTCAAGCCATCTGCGCTGACATCGTCCTCGACGTCTGCCTGCCCGAACGTAGAAACGTCGAGGCCAAAAAAAGCAAGCAAGATTAAAACGTCAGGTGGCGGGCAGTAAAGGGGGGTGAGAAGAGCCTGAAACTGCCCTAGTCAAGAGACACTGCGCAGGACAAAAGCGAAGCTTTCCCCATGACGCCTCCTGCTCGGATATGCACTGCAACAGAGCGTCTAGAAGCTCCTGTTTGTTTCGCATGCCGGTGCCAGAGCCCTGCTGCACACCCGCAGCCCCAGCCAGCGCCCGCAACTGCTTGACGGTCTTCTTCGCGAGCTCCCCGCGCAGCCAAGCCACGCCGTCAGCAGCAAAACCTTCTCGCAGGCGCTGCAGCTCTTGCTGCAGCGCAGCGCCAGCTTCATCCTGTTCAAAGGTCGACAAGAAAAGCCTGAAACTGCCCTAGTCAAGAGACACTGCGCATGCGCCGCTTGAACGTAAAGCCCAAAAAAAAGCAAGCTCCAAGCCAGAAACAACCTTGACCCCAACCTGCGTAGGAATGCAAACAATATGACACACAAACCTTAGAGAAGGAGGAAACCAAGAATACAAAGCACAAAAATGACGCTTTCCCCAAGACGCCTCCTGCTCGGAAATGCACTGCGAGAGAGCGTCGAGAAGCTCCTCTCTGTTCCGCATGCGCGCACCAGCGCGCAGGTGCACACCCGCAGCCCCAGCAAGCGCCCGCAACTGCTTCACGGTCTGCTTCGCTAACTCCTCGCGCAGCCAAGCCACGCCATGAGCGGCAAAACCTTCGCGCAGACCGTGCAGCTCTTGCTGCGGCGCAGCGCCAGCTTCATCCTGATCACAGGTCGAGAAGAAAAGCCTGAAACTGCCCTAGTCAAGAGACACTGCGCACGCGCCGCTTGAACTTAGAGCCCAAAAATAAGCAAGCTCCAAGCCACAAACAACATGACCCCAACCTGCGTAGGAATGCAAACCATGTGACGCACAAACCTTAGAGAAGAAGGAAACCAAGAATACAAAGCACGAAAATGACGCTTTCCCCAAGACGCCTCCTGCTCGGAGATGCACTGCGAGAGAGCATCAAGAAGCTCCTCTCTGTTTCGCGTGCTCGCGCCAGAGCCCTGTCGTGTGCCCGCAGCGCCAGCAAGCTCACGCAGCTGCGTGACCGTCTTTTTCGCAAGCTCCTGGCGCAGCCAACCTGCACCTTTAGCACGGAAACCGCGCCGCAGCGTCTGCATAGCATCCCCGCCGGTGTACGACATGCCTGGACCTACAAAAACCCGCACGGTCCAAGCTGGCGCCAAGGTTTCACTCAATAGCGCCTCTCGGGCCAAAGCTAGCACGCACGCATGTAGAGCAACGCATCATGAGGTAACAGACATACAGCACACGAACGCTAGCACCGACACACAGTGCGGGATGCCTTCTCCCCTTCATTGACGTCGGCGCGCCCCAGGACGTCCAAATCGGACATCGCCCAAACATGTTACATTTGAGAGCAACCGCTGATCACTTCCCACAGAGAGACGAGTCTGAGCGCAGGACTGGTTGCCTTCCCTCCAAATCGAGATCACTTTTTTCCCGCTCCACTGCATGGCTGATATTTGTCATGGTTTTGGAAACAGCGAATTCGGGGACCATGGTTTTCGCGATGGTTTTGGAAACAGCTAATTCGAGTACCAT